CCACATTCCAGCTACCCAGTAGCCTCAAACCCTAAGTAGCTGCCACATGGAAGAGCAGCTCTGAGAGATCTGACTCTGATCTCAGGGACCTGAACAAACTAAATACTCACTTTCTCCTGGAAATGAGGGAACAGTCTCTCCCTATAAACCTCTCCATTCAGGCCCAAAGATGGGTAGGACGGTGTCCCTAGAGACAGCAGTCACTGCTAGCAGGAAGTGTCCACATGTAGACCATTGTGTTCCAGTTTCTGTTTGGTGAGAATTCCTCTTCCTTCCAAACATCAGACAGTGAACAATGAATGATAGAGCCCCAAGAGGAGCGAACCGCATGTCTTCAGGACTCTACAGTGTTAACCTCCAAAGTTTAGATGTGGAGAAAATAGATTAAAGGCTGTTAATGGCTTTGTGTCACCACCCAAATCTCATCTTCAATTGTAATCACCACGTGTCAGGGGAGAAACCTGGTGGGAGGTGATTGAGTCATAGGGCACAGACTTCCTCCTTGCTGTTCTTGTGATAGGGTTCTCATGAGATCTGATTGTCTAATCAGTGTGTTACTTCCCTCTTTCTTTCCTGCCATCTTGTGAAGACGTGCCTTGTTTTCCTTTTGCTTTCTGCCATGACTGTAAGATTCCCAAGGACTCCTCAGCCATGCAAAACTGTGAGTCAATAAAACCTCTTCTCTTGATAAACTACCCAGTTTCAGGTAGTTCTTTATAGCAGTGTGAAAATGGGCTATACAAAGGTCAACTGCTTACTTTGCTATTTGGCCTTGGACCTAATTGTCCAGCGGTAGCTGCGTGCTTTGCTCCTGTGGTGGGGCACTGTGTGAGTTTAAGCACCAATCACTTGCATCCACACACATCTACCTGCTCTTCTGTATAACTCAGTAACATCTAAATGAAATCTAACTTAATTTTTTTTTATTGTTGGGGGGGCATTTATTTCTATAAATTTCCCTCTAGACACTGCTTTAAATGTGTCCCAGAGATATGAAATCTAACTTTAAATGAAATAAAAAGAAAATTAATACTTACAGGATGCCAAACATTTGTAGGTTATTTGTAATTAATCTTCACTGAAATCCTGGCACCCTTCCTACAATAAATGTATTTGTTAGTAAGCTATAACTGCGTAATAAACTACCCCAAAACTTACTAGCTCATTACTGAGCTGCTTAGAAATTTAGACTGCGGGGCCGGGCGCGGTGGCTCAAGCCTGTAATCCCAGCACTTTGGGAGGCCAAGGTGGGTGGATCACGAGGTCAAGAGATCGAGACCATCCTGGTCAACATGGTGAAACCCCGTCTCTACTAAAAATACAAAAAGTTAGCTGGGCATGGTGGCGCGTGCCTGTAATCCCAGCTACTCAGGAGGCTGAGGCAGGAGAATTGCCTGAGCCCAGGAGGCGGAGGTTGCGGTGAGCCGAGATCGCGCCATTGCACTCCAGCCTGGGTAACAAGAGCGAAACTCCGTCTCAAAAAAAAAAAAAAAAAAAAGAAATTTAGACTGCGCTCAGCTGGGCTTCTTCAGCCATGAATGGTCAGCTGATAGCAGATTAGGTGGCTCTGCTTCTGAGAGTGATCTGTCAACTGGGGCACTTTGGTTTCTCTCCCCATGATATTTTATTTTTCAGCTGGCTAAAATGGGCTTTTAAGAGCCATTTTGGAAGAATTTAAGACCCTTTGAGCCTAGAACCCAAACTGGCACACTCATAGTCACAGTTTTGGCCTGTGCAAGTAAGACCAGAAAGAGCCAAGGTTTGAAAAAACAAATGCTGCTTCTAAGAGCATGACTTAAGAATGAATACAAAGGCCGGGCGCGGTGGCTCAAGCCTGTAATCCCAGCACTTTGGGAGGCCGAGGCGGGTGGATCACAAGGTCAAGAGATCGAGACCATCCTGGTCAACAAGGTGAAACCCCGTCTCTACTAAAAATACAAAAAAAGTAGCTGGGCATGGTGGCGCGTGCCTGTAATCCCAGCTACTCAGGAGGCTGAGGCAGGAGAATTGCCTGAACCCAGGAGGCGGACGTTGTGGTGAGCCGAGATCGCGCCATTGCACTCCAGCCTGGGTAACGAGCAAAACTCCGTCTCAAAAACAAAACAAAACAAAAAATGTTTATTCAGAACTCAGAATTTTCTCATGATTTATGTATACTTGCATATAATTTTTATTATAACCATAAAAATGACCCTGTAGTCAATAAAGATTGTACATTCTGAAGTATCTAAAAGCGTAGAATTGGTTTATAATACAAAGAAATGCTGGAGTTGATGGATACTTCTTTTTGCCCTGATGTGATTAATACATAAAATCATATGCCTGTATCAAATGCCATACATGCCATCATTTTGGTATCCACAAAAATTAAGAGAAATACATTTAAATCAAAAACAAAAAATCTAACCTATGGAAACAATTTTTTTTTTTTTTAATATGGAGTCTTGCTCTGTCACCCAGGATGGAGCGAAGGGGCATGATCTCAGCTCACTACAACGTCCGCCTCCCAGGTTTAAGCGATTCTCTTGCCTCAGCCTCCGGAGTAACTGGGACTACAGCTGTGTGCCACCACGCTTAGGTAACTTTTTGTATTTTTAGTAGAGATGGGGTTCTACCGTGTTAGCCAGGATGATCTTGATCTCCTGACCTTGTGATCTGCCTGCCTCGGCCTCCCAAAATGCTGGGATTACAGGCGTGAGCCACGGCACCCAGGCTCTTTAACTTATTAGCAGTTTAAAGCAACTAGCAAAAATAATTATTAGAAATGTTAGTCCATTATGTTATCAAATAGCATACAGTTACCCTCTTTTACTTAAACCCTTGAGTAACGGGGGATGGGTAAAAGTTAGTGGCATAAAAACACTTCATTGAATGCACAATGGTCTTAACAAGTTTAAAAAAAAAAGTTTAAAAATAAGTTCACACACAATTTAAAAACTTTTAAACTTAACACATTTTATTATACAATAGGTAAAATAATATACTACAAATTAATTTTAACGAAGATTAAAAATCACTTTTTCTTACTATAATGCAGAAGAGTATCACTCTGAACGCCTACCTCATGATCACTCAATACTGTAAGTTAAACACAAAGAACCTCTCCACTCAGGTCTTTTCATTTGATCACATGCTTTCACATGTGAATACAACAGGAATGAAGAGCATTAAGCAATTTGAGAGTTGAATTACATATTTGCTTTTCAAAAACAGTTTTTTCCAGAAAAAAATATAATTTGAAGGTAATTACAAATCTACAAAAAATTTTCTACTTCTTTTAAGGTTATATACAATTTACCTACCAACTTTAGTTTTAAATTATTTTTTTTTTTTTTGAGACGGAGTTTCGCTCTTGTTACCCAGGCTGGAGTGCAATGGTGCGATCTCGGCTCACCACCACCTCCGCCTCCTGGGTTCAGGCAATTCTCCTGCCTCACCCTCCTGAGTAGCTGGGATTACAGGCATGTGCCACCATGTCCAGCTAATTTTTTGTATTTTTAGTAGAGACGGGGTTTCACCATGTTGACCAGGATGGTCTCGATCTCTTGACCTCGTGATCCACCCGCCTCGGCCTCCCAAAGTGCTGGGATTACAGGCTTGAGCCACCACGCCCGGCCTTAAATTATTTTCTATACTCCACATTCTGTTGAAGTGCAATGTCTGAAGTGTCAGTACCTTAGATGATATTTCTACTGTGAATTCTTTTTTTTTTTTTTTTTTTTTTTTTGAGATGGAGTCTTGCTCTGTCACCTAGGCTGGAATGCAATGCCATCACAGTCTCACCACAACCTCTGCCTCCCAGGTTCAAACGTTCTCCTGCCTCAGCATCCTGAGTAGCTGAGATTACAGGCGCATGCCACCACGCCCAGCTAATTTTTGTATTTTTAGTAGAAGCGGGGTTTCACCATGGTGGCCAGTCTGGTCTCGAACTCCTGGTCTCAGGTTATTTACCCACCTTGGCCTACCAGTGTTGGGATTCCAGGCGTGAGCCACTGTGCCTGGCCTAAATTCGCTATTTACAGTCTTAATTTTTGATTAAATTATTTTTACATTTACTGCATTTGTGAAAAATATATTTTAGCATGAGGCCTCCGGGTTTTTTATTTCATTTTAGGTTTTGGGATACATGTGAAGAACATGCAAGATTGTTGCATAGGTATACACATGGCAGTGTGATTTCCTGCCTTCCTCCCCATCGGCCTCTAGTATTTTCTAAGCTGTAGTTTTTTAAAAGATGTTTCTCCAAATCATTAGATTTGGCGAGTTTTTCCTCCAATAAAAATTTTCTGGTGTGGAACAAAGTTTGAGCAACGGCTTCAGGATTTTCCTCCAGTACAAAATATAGTACACTACATCTGTGATACAAGTAAAGGTACTACAACGCTATTTGTATTTATAATGTTTGTCCTCAAAATACTTTGTATTTTCTGAGATGAAGTTTTTTGCTCTTGTATCCCTGGCTGGAGTGCAGTGGTGTGACCCCGGCTTACTGCAAGCTTCGTCTCCCAAGTTTGAGCAGTTCCCCTACCTGTGCCTCCCAAGTGGCTGGGATTACAGGGGCCTGCCATCACACCCAGCTAATTTTCGTATTTTTAGTAGAGACACACTTTCACCATGTTGGCCAGGCCAAGTCTCAAACTCAGGAATTTGAGGTCCTGACCTGATTCTGACCTGATCCACCCACCTTGGCCTCCCAAAGTGCTGGCATTACATGTAGGCCACACCAGCACACCTAGCTTTTCTTCTTCACTTTAAAGGCTTATATTTTCTGAAAGATAATAAAAACTGCATTTTTATTAAGTACTAACTCTCTAATATTGAGTAAGATGTGAGCAGATATTTCTTGGAGTCTCACTGTGTTGCCCAGGCTAAAGTGCAGTGGCACGACCTTGGCTCACTGCAACCTCCGTTTCCTGGGTTCAAGCAATTCTCCTGCCTCAGCCTCCTGAGTAGCTGGGACTGCAGGCACACAACACCACACCCAGCTAATTTTTTTTGTAGTAGAGATGGGGTTTCACCATGTTGGCCAGGATGGTCTCAATCTCTAGACCTCCTGATGTGCTTGCCTTGACCACCAACAGTGCTGAAGTTTTCAGTATCAATTAGCTTATGGTTATTGAGGTTTCAGGATTGGTTAAATGTTGCCACATTACTCGTATTTTCAGAGTTTCTCTCAAGTATAAATGGTCTTATGTGTAGCAAGGTGTGAGGACCAGTTAAAGGCATTGCCGTATTTTTTACATTTGTAGGGTTTCTCTCCAATATAAATACTCTTATATGTACTGTTGAGAATCGGTTAAAGGCTCTGCCACAGACTTCACATTTGTAGTTTCTCTCCAATATGAATTTTCTTGTCTGCAGTAAGGGTTGAGGATAGGTTAAAAGCTTTGCCACATTCTTCACAATTGAAGCATTTCTCTCCAGTATGTATGGTTAGAAAGGTATGAGAATTGGTTAAAAGCTTTACCACATTCTTCACAATTGTAGTTTCTCTCCAGTATAAATTATCTTGTGTAGAAAAGTGTGAGGACTGATTAAAGGCATTGCCACATTCTTCTCATTTGTATGGCTTCTCTCCAGTATAAATTACCTTATGTTTAGTGAAAGTTGAGGACCAGTTAAAGGCTTTGCCACAGTTTTGACATTTGTAGGGTTCTCTCTAGTATGAATTTTCTCACGTTCAGTAAGGTTTGAAGGTAAGTTAAAAGCTTTGCTACATTTTTTACATTTGTAGGGTTTCTCACCAGTATAAAAGGTCTTCTGTGTAGAAAAGAAGATTGGTTTAAGGCTTTACCACATTATTCATACTTGCAGAGTTTCTCTCCAGTATGAATTTTCTTACGTGTAGTAAGTTTTTAGGATGAATTAAAAGTTCTGTCACATTCTTCACATTTGTAGGGCTTCTCTCCAGTATGAATTTCCTTATGTGTAGTAAGGTTTGAGGACAGGTTGAAAGCTTTGCCATAATCTCCACATTTGTAGGGTTTCTTTCCAGTATGGGTTATCTTATGTATAGTAAGAGATGAGAACTGGTTAAAGGATTTGCCACATTCTTCACATTTGTAAGGTTTCTCTGAAGTATGAATTTTCTTATGTGTAGTAAGGTTTGAGGATTGGTTAAAAGCTTTGCCACATTCTTCACATTTATAAGGTTTTTCTCCAGTATGAATTTTCTTATGTGCAGTAAGGGTTGAGGACAGGTTAAAAGCTTTGCCACATTCTTTACATTTGTAAGGTTTCTCTCCAGTATGAATTATCTTATGTCTATTAAGAGTCGAGGAGCAGTTAAAGGCTTTGCCACATTCTGCACATTGGTAAGGTTTCTCTCCTGTATGAATTCTCTTATGTATAGTAAGGTTTGAGAATCGGTTATAAGCCTTTCCACATTCTTCACACTTGTGGGGTTTCTCTCCAGTATAAATTCTCTTATGGTTAGTAATGTTTGAGAATAGGCTAAAAGTTTTTCCATGTTCCTCCAATCTGTAGAGTTTCTCTCCAGTATGAATTATCTTTTGTGTAGTAAGATGTGAGGACTGGTTAAAGACTTTGCCATATTCTTCACATTTGTAGGGTTTCTCTCCAGTAGGAATAATTTTATGTAGAGTAAGGTGTGAGGACTGTTTAAAGGCCTTGCCAAATTCTTCACATTCTTTGAATTTCTCTTTAGTATGAATTATCTTATGTCTACTAAGTTGATAGGACTGATTAAAAGCTTTCCCACATTCTTCACATTTATAGGGTTTTTCTCCAGTATGAATTCTTTTATGTTTAGTAAGGGTTGAGAATCGGTTAAAGGCCTTGCCACATTCTTCACATTTGTAGGGTTTCTCTCCCGTATGAATTTTCTTATGTTCAGTGAGGTTTGAAGACTGGCTAAAAGCTCTGCCACATTCTTCACATTTGTAGGGTTTCTCTCCAGTATGAATTTTCTTATGTCTAGTAAGGGTTGAGGATCGATTAAAAGCTTTTCCACATTCTTCACATTTGTATGGTTTCTCTCCAGTATAAATTTTCTTATGGTTAATTAGGTTTGAGGGTTGGTTAAAAGCTTTGCCACATTTTTCACATTTGTAGGATTTCTCTGGCATATGAATTTTTTTATGTTTAGTAAGGTTTGAAGATTGGTTAAAAGCTTTGCCACATTGTTCACATTTGTAGGGTTTCTCTCCAGTATGAATTATCTTATGAATAATAAGAGTTGAGGACTGGTTAAAGGCTTTGCCACATTCTTCACATTTGTAGGATTTCTCTGCAGTATGAATTCTCTTATGTTTAGTAAGGTTTGAAGATCGGTTAAAAGTTTTGCCACATTTTTCGCATTTGTAGAGTTTCTCTCCAGTGTAAATTTTCTCCTGTTTATTAAGGTTTGAGGATATGTTAAAAGCTCTGCCACATTCTTGACATTTGTAGTGTTTCTTTCCAGCATGATTTCTCTTATGGTTAGTAAGATTTGAGAATAGATTAAAAGTTTTTCCACATTCTCCACATTTGTAGAGGTTCTCTCCACTAGGAAGCATCTTTTGTGTAGTAAGGTGTGAGGACCGACTGAAGACTTTGCCACATTCTTCACATTTGTAAGGTTTCTCTCCAGTATGATTTCTTTTATATATAGAAAGGTGTGAGTCCAGTTTAAAGGCTTTGCCACATTCTTCACATTTGTAAGAATTCACTCTAGTATGAAATCTTCTATGCTGCATTACTTGTGAAAGCATGCAAAATGATTTGCCACATTCTTTACACTTGAAATGTTTATTTCCAGTATGTCTTTTCTTATGTCTACTTGAATTTGAAAATTTATGAAAGACTTTCACATATTTATTACACTGCAGTGTTTTGCTTGGGGTAGCTGTCAAACATTGGTCAACTCTGTTATAACCTCCTCTGTGCTCCGTACACTCATCCACACTTTTACAGCCTTTTCTTAACTGTAAATTCTCATGCCCACATTTTCCATATCTTCTCAGTGTCACATTTTGGAAAGAATCTTTTATGTTCTGCTCTGGCCAAAGGTCTTGGGCAAAATGAAAACACATAACTGAAAGAAATAAAAATAAGAAATTACTCCACTTGCTAGACACAGATGAATATACTTTACAAATCTAATGTATAGAATTACACAAACTACATAAGCAAGATTGCATAGCAAAATGCCTCAGGCTCCAGTTTCTTCACAGGCATATAACTAAAACACACTGACCAAAATACATTTGTGGAAAATTTATAAATAAGTTCAGTGTGTACAGGACCCCAGGGAGCACAATGTGAAGGGCCACATAGAAGAAAAAGACAAGTCTGTTTTATTTACCCAACAAAGCTCTTTCTGTTCCCCAATATAACATAGTGCATGTAGAAGTAAATTGCCAACTCCTGGTTTCATTTTTAAAAGACAAGAAAAATAACAAACATATACATCTTTATTTCTGGGTTCTATGTCCCTTTGCAGACATTGGTTTCTGTCTCCCATGACAGAAAGGGCTGAAAGAAATGGTGGTGTACTTTGGAATGACATTTTGAGTCTGCTGAAGTCAAAGGTAAATGTTACAGCAGTGAAGAGACTGCAGTAGAAAACAGTTGTAGCAAGTGATTACTCACTATTCAGAAGAAACATGAACAAACTCTTTTAACTAAAAAAAAAAAAACCTAGAAAATCTTAGAGAAGACACATCCTAAGAACATGTTTGAAAGACTCTCAGAATCACTAGTCAAGACAAATGGCTTCAGACTATGCCAGGACAAAGCTACATTATAAAGATGGTGACAGAGAGCTTGTTTTTACCAAATGTCAATTAAAGATTACAATGTATACAAAATATTAGGGCAATACAGCCCAACAGAAATTATAAAATTTTCATAAAACAACCATTAACAATTAAAAATACACAAATTAATTTTAAAAATTTAAAATAAATTGAATAAAACCGTGAATAGGAACAGAGACAACTACTAAAAATTAGAAAAATGAGGATAACAAGAAAAATATTAAAAAGAGCAGAAACCAGAAATTGTGGAAGTAAAAATACAAAAACATTTTAAAATTTAAAAGAAAAATTAATGTAAAATAAAGACACACAACAAACTATAATACACACAAAGGTATTTATAACAAACACATATATAAGCAAAATTTCAAAGCTCATAGACAAGAGAATCTTGGGCACTGCAAGGTGAAAGTGATGTGTGATTTATAATAGTAGTCTTATGAGACAGCCGGTACATATGTCAAGAAAGTTTCACAGGTGAAAAAGGAACTGTGACATAGTCAAAGTCCTGAAAACAACAGCTGTAAAGTGAGACTAATATCAACAACTGTCTTGCCAAATACCCTCCAAGTAAAATACCTTCCAAAAATAACAAAATATGGCCATGTGCAATGGCTCACATCTGGAATCACAGCACATTGGGAGATCAAGGTGAGTGGATCACTTGAGGTCAGGAGTTCGAGACCAGCCTGATCAACATGGTGAAACCCCATCTGTACTAAAAACAAAAAATAATTAGCAAGGTGTGGTGGTGCACTCCTGTAATCCCAGCTACTTGGGAAGCCGAGGCATATGAATCACTTGAACCCGAGAGATGGCGGTTACGGTGAGCCAAGATCATGCCACTGCACTCCAGCCTGGGCAACAAGAATGAAATTCCATTTTAAAATAAATAAATACATGGGAAAATTCTGAAAATATATTTTGGTACTGCCTATGCCCTACATATCAAAGATGCTGAAAGGGGTTCTACTGAAAATGAATTGATGCAAGAAAATAACACATAATCACATGAAAATACATAACTTTCTGGGAAAGATATGCACATATACAATAATATAACTTTGCACCATTTTCATAATGGTGCAGAAAGTATTTTTAATTATTCTCTGACATGGGAAAGATAAAAGCATACAAATTATACTAAACATCTGCTAATGAATATGTAACAAAGATATAATTAGCAACCTCAATGACAAGGTTGAGGGCAGCTGTATGAATAAGAATTTTTGTATGCAAATAAAGTTCATTTTTTAACTAGATTATAATATACTGTTTTATCTTGCAGAGGTTTTATGGAATCCGCAAGGAACCACAAAGAATATATTTGTGTAGATTCACAAAACAAAGTAAGAAAGAAAGAAAAGCATATAAATACAAAAATCAAAAAGACACAAAGGAAGAAAGAGAGAAAAGGGACTAAGAGACAAGAATCAAAGAATTAATAAAATAATATTAGCAAGTTTTTCTGTTTCAGAAGAATATACAGAGAGTTAACTTTAAATATCTATATAATCAAGAGACACACTTTCAGCCAGGCATAGTGGCTCATGCCTTTAATCCCAGCACCTTTAGAGCTGAAGCAGGTGGATCACCTGAGGTCAGGAGTTCAAGACCAGCCTGGCCAACATGGTGAAACCCCATCTCTACTGAAAATACAAAAATTAGCTGGGCATTGTGGTGGGTGCCTGTAATCACAGCTACTCAAAAGGCTAAGATGAGAGAATTGCTTGAACCCGGGAGGTGGAGGTTGCAGTGAGCCGAGATTGCAACACTGCACTCCAGTCTGGGAAACAAGAGCAAAACTTTCTCCAAAAAAAAAAATAGACATACTTTCAATAATGGAATTAATTTTAAAATTTTGAGCCGGGCGCGGTGGCTCAAGCCTGTAATCCCAGCACTTTGGGAGGCCGAAGTGGGTGGATCACGAGGTCAAGACATCGAGACCATCCTGGTCAACATGGTGAAACCCCGTCTCTACTAAAAATACAAAAAATTAGCTGGGCATGGTGGCACATGCCTGTAATCCCAGCTACTCAGGAGGCTGAGGCAGGAGAATTGCCTGAGCCCAGGAGGTGGAGGTTGCAGTGAGCCGAGGTCGCGCCATTGCACTCCAGCCTGGGTAACGAGAGAAAAACTCCGTCTCAAAAATAAATAAATAAATAAATAAAAATAAAATATATGCTATTCTTACACAAAATGAAAATTCTGTAACCCAACTTTAGAAGCAAACAATACCCTTACATTGCTAAAGAAAAAATAAATACATGTGAATGTGTGTATATATATATATTTATATATGTAATATATATTTATATGTGCATGTATATGTGTGTGTGTGTGCAAAATATGGTTAGAGCCTCTGATACATGAAAGTTTTTGAGAATAAATTATATTATTTAGATACAGGCTGAAGAAAGTAGATGAAAATCCTATAATTTGTTTATACCAACAGCTAACTCAAATTTGTAAGTAACGATTTTAATAAATATGGAGTGCCTACTAATTATCTAATTTACTTAAGGCATAACTTGTAAATTCTAGCACATTGTCCTAAATGTCTGAATTTGAAACTAGAAACAAATTTGAAATAGAAAATAAAAAGCAAAAATGTATAGAGTGATTTCAGTAAGATGGAAAAATAAAAGGTGCCCTATTTTCTTATAACCCAACAGCAAAAATATTTATCAGCCATCCCTGACCAAAAAATGTGTTTACAAGAAAGCCAAGCATCATGGATCACGCCTGTAATGACAGTTTTACATGGTACATTCAGGTTGAAGAATTGCTTCAGGCCAGGATTTAAAGACCAGCGTAGGTTGGAAAGCAAGAACCCATCTCAAAAATAAGTACCTGTAACAGAGCTTTGAGATCCAGGGAGGGAGTTGTGAAACTCTGCTAGAGCCAAAGATTGAGAAGTGTTCCTTTTCAGAAGGCAGGCCCTCATTCAGGAGGCAAATTACAAGACCCCTGGAGTCGGCTACAGACCAGGAAATGGCCCACTAAGAATTCTGAACTTCCTCTGTGATCATCCCAAACTCACCCCAGCAGCAGTCTGAGAGAGGTCCGGTCTGGAATTTCCAGAGGCCTGGAGGAGGGCACACATTTGTAGCCATGCAGCAGGCCTGCAGACTTGGGCCATTACTGCAGTCCCTGAAGCACTTCAATGACTCAGTTCCAACTCCCTGATCCACACTTTACTGTCAGTTCTGCCTCCACAGAAACCCATACAGTGACCTAGAAAAATCTTCTCTGGTACTCAGTAAAAGCCATACTCATCCACATCCTGATACAAGGCCCATCATACTCAGACCTAACTGCAAAAACATGTCCTAGTATCTGTCCTACAGAGCAACGTCCTCAAGGATATTCCGTCTATCCCAAAATAAAATGGGAATTACAATTACCTAAGCTTCTTAGAACAGGCCAATAAAGGTAGACTCTAGTGCAGACACAGTAATCTTGTGACTAAGCTACACCCACATCTACTACAAACCCAGAGGGCATCCCATCACCCTGGGGGCTCTACAGAAGAAAATCTTTACATCCTGAAATCAGTTTATAAAAACTTGAAGAGGTTTTTGCTCTTTCAAATTGACAGACACCAGTGCAAAACTGTATTGTGCCCATTGTCAATGCTTTTATTTTAACATAGCACTGACAGTCTGTGGCAAAAGAATTAAACATTTTGGCCGGGTGCAGTGGCTCGAGCCTGTAATTCCAGCACTTTGGGAGGCCGAGGTGGGTGGATCACGAGGTCAAGAGATGGAGACCATCCTGGTCAACATGGTGAAACCCCGTCTCTACTAAAAATACAAAAAATTAGCTGGGCATGGTGGTGTGTGCCTGTAATCCCAGCTACTCAGGAGGCTGAGGCAGGAGAATTGCCTGAACCCAGGAGGCGGAGGTTGCGGTGAGCCGAGATCGCGCCATTGCACTCCAACCTGGGCAACAAGAGCAAAACTCCGTCTCAAAAAAAAAAAAAAAAAAAAAGAAGATGCCCCTCTGAGAGCAAAAGAAAAAAAAAAAAAAGCTCAGTCTTTCCAGAAACTATTTCCTTTGGAACACAGCTTCCCAAATCACATTTGAAGGACTGGCTTTTCCTTTGACCTTTCGTTTGTGTCGTCTGTTGTATCCACTATCTCACCTACCTGGGGGTTTGGCTACCATCTCACATCTCTTCATATTCCAGGGTTCTTTTTTTTGCTCCAGACAGGTGATCAGATATGGCTTACAGACAGCAATACCTGTTTTATTGAAAATAAGTAACATGAATCTTAGTCATATTCTCCAATTACCAACCTAGTAATGTGCTCAGTAAAGAGAATGTAATAAATACTGATCTATAGCATAAATTTCTAAATATTTAGAAAATGTTTTAAATTTGTAGGTTTTAAATTTTACCATCTGGTACTATTGAATCAAAAATTCGTGTTGGGAATCAGATTTTAAGGGGTGGGTAACAATATTTCATGGCACTAAATTTCTGGAATTATCACCAACCTAGAGTGAAAGATACAGATTAGCTCAGGAATGTGAAAAGTTCAGGTCACAATGAAACATCTTGAAGGAATGATTTCGTACAAAAAGAAATCTCAAAGATTTTCGGTTGGGAGCAGTGGGTCACACCTGTAATCCCAGCACTTTGGGAGGCCGAGGCGGGTGAATCACGAGGCCAGCAAATCCAGACCATCCTGGCCAATACGGTGAAATGTCTCCACTAAAAATACAAAAAATTAGCAGGGTGTGGTGGCACGTGCCTGTAAGTCCCAGCTACTTGAAAGGCTGAGGCAGGAGAATCACTTGAACCTGGCAGACAGAGGTTACAGTGAGCTGAGATTGCACCACTGTACTCCAGCCTGGGTGACAGAGCAAGACTACATTTCTAAATAAATAAATCTCAAAGATTATCTTGAAAACAGGAATCTGAAACTCATTTATGCAAAGCATAAATTACCAGAAAAGACTACAAAAATAAAAAATAAAAATAAAAACTTAAGTGTATTTTAGGAATTGTGAATCGAAGTTATCCTCACCCAGGAAGACCAGGTTTCTGTAATTCTCTAACAACACATGCCTATATAAATCCCGCTGTGCGGTGTCCAGGCATTGCCACTCCTCCAGAGAGAATTCTATGGCCACATCTTTAAATGTCAGTGGTTCCTGAAAAACACAAACACACACACATTTACCAAGTGGCCATGAGCTGGTACTGGATATTTAAAAAAATGTATAGGATAATAACTAAATACCGACAGATACAGAAAAAAGGGATACAGAAGGAACAGTTTAATGTGATTTAGAGAAATTTTTATTGTGTTTGTATTTACTTCTTCGTGACTTGCAAAGAAACTACTGGATCTGCAGGAATAGAAAACGAGTTGCTAAATGGAATGTCTCTGCAAGCGTTGGTTTTAATAAAAAATTTAAAAACGAAGACCTTAAAATACATACTTTTGGCCGGGCGCAGTGGCTCAAGCCTGTAATCCCAGCACTTTGGGAGGCCGAGGCGGGTGGATCACGAGGTCAAGAGATCGAGACCACCCTGGTCAATATGGTGAAACCCCATCTTTACTAAAAATACAGAAAATTAGCTGGGCATGGTGGTGCGTGCCTGTAATCCCAGCTACTCAGGAGGCTGAGGCAGGAGAATTGCCTGAACCCAGGAGGCGGAGGTTGTGGTGAGCCGAGATCGCGCCATTGCACTCCAGCCTGGGTAACAAGAGCGAAACTCCTCAAAAAAACAAACAAACAAAAAAAAACACACACATACTTTTTTCTTTCCATTTATCTCCTTATGGAATTCAGAAACTGTTAGTACCGGCCGGGCGCGGTGGCTCAAGCCTGTAATCCCAGCACTTTGGGAGGCCGAGGCGGGTGGATCACGAGGTCAAGAGATCGAGACCATCCTGGTCAACATGGTGAAACCCTGTCTCTACTAAAAATACAAAACATTAGCTGGACATGGTGGCGCGTGCCTGTAATCCCAGCTACTCAGGAGGCTGAGGCAGGAGAATTGCCTGAACCCAGGAGGTGGAGGTTGCAGTGAGCCGAGATCGCGCCATTGCAGTCCAGCCTGGGTGACGAGAGCGAAACTCCTCCTCAAAAAAAAAAAAAAAGAAACTGTTAGTACCCACTCTAGAAAGGCACCAGCCAAAACTCTGATCTCTTCTAATCAGTTCTGTGAGGCAAGATTCCAGGGTGGGGCCAGACCTAAATAAGGCCTCCAACAAGAGTGAATCTGAACAGAACTGGGGCAGGGAGTAAACCCAATATAGTATTCTGTTCAGCCCATCAGTTTTATAAATATACCCATTAGCAATTTAAACAAATCTCTTAGAGTTTTCTAGAATAATTTTATCATATGTATTGTTAGCAAGGTAAAAGAAATTTTAAAATAATATTTAACTCTTGTGGCCTGGGGGTGGTGGCTTATGCCTGTAAACCCAGCACTTTTGGAGGCTGGGTGGATCACCTGAGGTCAGGTGTTCGAGACCAGCCTGGCCAAAATGGTGAGACCCCGTCCTACTAAAAATTCAAAAATTAGCCAAGCATGGTGGTGTGAACCTGTAATCTGATTTACCCAGGAGGCTGAGGCAGGAGAATCATTGGAACCCAGGAGGCAGAGGCTGCAGTGAGCCAAGATCATGCCACTGCACTCCAGCCTGGGTGACAGAGCAAGACTCTGTCTCAAAAAAAAAAAGAAACCCCAAACCAAAAACAAAACTCTTGTGACCATACACATTCATTGAAATGATGACCTTAGAAGTCACAATAGTATAAAGTGTGGCTGGGTGTAGTGGCTCAGGCATGTAATCCCAGCACTTTGGGAGGCCGAGGCGGGTGGATCACCTGTGGTCAAGAGTTCAAGACTAGCCTGCCCGACATGGTGAAACCCAGAATTTACTAAATACAAAAATCAGCTGGGTAGCACACCCCTGTAATCCCAGCTACTCAGGAAGTTGAGGCAGGAGAATTGCCTGAACCCAGGAGGCGGGGGTTGAGCCGAGACTGCACCAAAGAAAGTGGCCCAAATAAAGCCCACATTTTTTTTTCACACATCTATTCATTTTGCCAACCATATGATGCTTGATTCAACCACGTGTACAGTTGCTAGTTTAGACTAACAGTTCCTTGATGATAGAGACCATGACTGCTTCATCTATTTTTCTAATGGCCATATGAATTAGTTAGCAATTAATTTATCTGCTTGAGTCTCTAGACCTCCTGGTTGTTTTTCAACCAAGTACTAGGAAACTGGAGAAAGTCTCAAATGGACACCAACTGAAGACATCTCCTGAATGAGGGGAGGACAAACACAGGATAACTAACTACTTTCTCTTACGCTGAGACAGAAGCAGCATTGACCACTCTTGTCCACCTGATGCATTTCTGCTCCGGACAACCTCAAATGTCTCAAAGATGCCTTGGTGATTATGAGAGAGTTCCTAGTGACTTGGGCTGATGGCCCAAGGATAAGGCAGGCAGGAGAGACTCAGGCCAATTCTAAACAGAAAATAGAACTGTCTCGGTGTAGCTCCAGGTTACAGGCCCCGATTGGCTAGCTCCGGCAAAAGGAAAGACAAAAATACTCTGCCCCAGTGTTACATTTTATGGGTGGGTGCAGCTGTGATCATGACTCTGGATACTTTGTGGCCTTCATCTCTCACCCCTAAGATGCTTGTTCACACTTACAGAATCTGTCATCAGATTCTACTTACACCTGGATCTTCTCACAGAACTGTAGCAGGTCACTGAACAAGATCTGAAAAGCTCACAGAGCCACGCTCTCAAAGGGAAGCTTTAAGATGTCTATGTTGACATCCCACAATGCAGAAAATGCCTCCTGTTGGTTTTCTGTACATTCTCAGTTTGGAGTGTGGCCCTGTCCTGTAAATCTAGGTAAAGGCCAGACCGTATGTGCAGATTCTAGGTTGGATCAGCCTGGCTCTACATTCTTGGGTGTTACAGCAAGTTGAGTCCAACCAAAAAAGAGATCTACTCATAGAGGATGCTCCAGCACATTCCAAATAATATGTCTACTTAAAAGGAAAAAGCTGAAGCTACATGAATGTAAGTAGAGAGTTTATTTGGGCCAAGACTGAGAATTGGAACCTGGGATCAAAGACTCAAGTTGCCAGAAATCTACACTTTGATTACTGCAGTTACAAGAGGATTTGTAAAAGCAAAAAGAGACAGAAAGTGGGCTGATACAAAGTTGTTTGTCAGAAATTCTCATTTATTTACAAAAAAAAAACCCCATTGATTACTGATTGGATATACATTGTTCAGCTATATGGTGTGTGTTACAGGGCCCAGCATGTCATTATTAATTTATAGCTACTTGTGGCAATAGCAAGCACTTTCAAGAGATAAATAAATCATTCAAAGAACAGACAAATGCATAAGGAATACCTAATTTATAAACAAAAAGGGGCCGGGCACAGTGGCACACATCTGTAAACCCAGCACTTTGGGAGATAAATACACAGCTGAAAGAACAAATACATAATTGTGGTATTATTTTAATGTCTCTGAACCTTATAACTAAAAGAATTTGTATTTCTCAGATAAAAGTTTTCTTTTCTCCCAAATCTTTTTTTTTTTTTTTTTTTTTTTTTTGAGACGGAGTTTCGCTCTTGTTACCCCAGGCTGGAGTGCAATGGCGCGATCTCGGCTCACCGCAACCTCCGCCTCCTGGGTTCAGGCAATTCTCCTGCCTCAGCCTCCTGAGTAGCTGGGATTACAGGCACGTGCCACCATGCCCAGCTAATTTTTTGTATTTTTAGTAGAGATGGGGTTTCACCATGCTGACCAGGATGGTCTCGATCTCTCGACCTCGTGATCCACCCGCCTCGGCCTCCCAAAGTGCTGGGATTACAGGCTTGAGGCACCGCGCCCGGCCCCGAAGAGGTAATTTATTGTATGGTTGTTACACTTGGCTATTAAGTAAGCCAGAAATAGTCCAGAATGTCACAGGTCCAGGGCAAAGGAGCAACACAGGAAGTTTTGGTTATGAGCAAGGTGGCTCTCGGGGCGATTAGCGATCAGATGCCGATGAAGTTATAGATCCACTGAGACAAGCTCTAGACAGCAGCATGCAGTCCACAACTTGTTCCAGCATCCCCTGCATCTGAAATTCCACGGTTCCACTCCTGCCGCCTCCACGGTGCCAGCAGTTTACTTGGTCCTCTGCCTCATCTTCTTTTGTGATTCAGCCTGCGCGCTTGGCTCTCACAGTGCAGAGGTTTCCAAGAAAATGGCGTTAAGGCCGAGATGAAGCCTCTTATTTCTAATTTATGTTTCCTCCTACAACAGACAGGTCTCTGGACATGTTTTTGAACTCTTGGATATCATAATTATCCACACTGTGTGCAGCTAACAGAATGTTTATCCGAAAAACAACAGATAAGAGAAAGGTGTTATAAAAAAAATCCAGCCATGTAATCCCAGCACTTTGGGAGGCTGAGGCGGGTGGATCACTTGAGGTCAGGAGTTTGAGACCAGCCTGATCAACATGGTGAAACCTCGTCTCTACTAAAAATACAAAAATTTGCCAGGTGTGATGATGCATGCCTGTAATCCCAGCTACTCAGGAGGCTGAGGCAGTAGAATGGCTTGAACCCTGGAGGCGGAGGTTGCGGTGAGCCGAAATTGTGCCACTGCACCCCAGTCTGGGCAACGAGAATGAAAATCCATCTCAAAAAAATTCATGGATATGTCAATCGAGAAAAATAACAAGTCTCAATCATTTTGAGAAGTTTTTTGCCAAAGTTCTTTCAAGGGCTTCAAATTTAAAGGGGAAAGGGTGGGATATTGCTAAGTACACAATTTTCATGTAAGAAGGGGATAGGGGGCCGGGCGCGGTGGCTCAAGCCTGTAATCCCAGCACTTTGGGAGGCCGAGGCGGGTGGATCACGAGGTCAGGAGATCGAGACCATCCCGGTCAACATAGTGAAACCCCGTCTCTACTAAAAATACAAAAAAAATAGCTGGGCATGGTGGCGCGTGCCTGTAATCCCAGCTACTCAGGAGGCTGAGGCAGGAGAATTGCCCGAACCCAGGAGGCGGAGGCTGCGGTGAGCCGAGATCGCGCCATTGCACTCCAGCCTGGGCAACAAGAGCGACACTCCGTCTCAAAAAAAAAAAAAAAAAAGAAGGGG